AGGAGGGGGTGTCCGGTGGGCAGCTCCCGAGAAGTGGAGCCAGCCGGCCGAGTCAGGACCTGGGCTCCTCTCCTGCCCGCTGGGCGCTGCGGCCGGTGGGCTTCATCTCTCCAGCTCAGCTCTAACCCATCACATGGGGGTACGGATGGGTGCCCCCTGCCTGGGTGGGAGGACTCAACCAGGTCCCCCCATCCACTCCCCACGCCCCGAAAGCCAAACAGCAAACACTATGGACCCGAAATCATTTGTAAAAATTGCCCCATCAGGTCCGAGGAGGAAGGTGGGGTTACTGTGCCCATTTCACTGATGAGGAAACTGAGGTCCAGAGAAACTGCTCCCGGCTAAGGGTTCAAACGCAGGCACTGGGCCTGAGACGGCAGGTGGATACAGGTGGCCGGTGGCTGAGGATCCGCTGAGTACTTGCCGCGCCCTCACCGCAGCCCCGTCTGTGTCCCTGCCCACAGTGACTCCGCTGGCCCGGGCATGGCAGACCCGGTGGCGAGCATCGCAGGCTCGGCCGCCAAGAGTGTGAGGCCGTTCCGCTCGAGCGAGGCCTACGTGGAGGCCATGAAGGAGGACTTGGCCGAGTGGCTCAATGCCTTGTACGGCCTGGGTCTGCCCGGCGGGGGTGACGGCTTCCTGATGGGACTGGCCACCGGCACCACTCTGTGCCAGCACGCCAACGCCGTCACCGAGGCCGCCCGCGCGCTGGCTGCCGCCCGCCCTGCCCGGGGGGTGGCCTTCCAGGCCCACAGCGTGGCGCCCGGCTCCTTCGTGGCCCGAGACAACGTGGCCACCTTCATCGGCTGGTGCCGGGCGGAGCTGGGGGTGCCCGAGGTGCTCATGTTCGAGACGGAGGACCTGGTGCTGCGCAAGAACGAGAAGAGCGTGGTGCTCTGCCTGCTGGAGGTGGCGCGGCGGGGGGCCCGCCTCGGCCTGCTGGCCCCGCGCCTCGTGCAGTTCGAGCAGGAGATCGAGCAGGAGCTGCGTGCCGCTCCCTCGGCCCCCCACGCCCCGGCCGCTGAGGATGAGGAGGGCACCCCCGACACCGCGGCTGCACCAGGGGCTCCCACCCGAGGGCCCCGCATGACGCCCATGGACCTGCGCAACCTGGACGAGCTGGTGAGTCCCGTCCTGCTAGACTCTCACCCTGCGCTGTGCCAGGACCGGACGGCAGAGCCGGTGCCCACAACTGGTCCCGAACCTCTGCTACACGCCCGTCCCGGGGGAAGGGTGCATGTATTGAGCACTGACTGTCTACCTCGCACCCAGGAGATGAGCAGGCCGACAGAGAGAGAGGGCTTGGGGAGGTCACGAGCCCCAGCCGACCTGGGACTTGGGATACAATCGGAGCCCGATTGCACGGGTGCCCGCCTTCCTTCACCTGCTAACCAGGCCCCAGACCAGGGCGGGGTGTGCCTTCATCCAGGGGCCACAGGATCTGAGCCCCTCCCGTGTGCCCTCACAAGTGCTAGGCAACTGCATCCATGTTGCTCAATGTGAAGCGGGTGCCTGGGGGGGACACTTGGCCCTGGACAAGGTGCCCGGCACACAGCAGGTGCTCAGTGGTGCCTCAGAAGCTCCCAGGGGCTCCCCTGGCCCCTCCCACTCCCCTGGCCCTTCCCACGTCATTTATCTGGGAAGCCAAGCCCAGAGCTGCTGCTGGGAGCTGCAGAGTTAGTTCTACTTGAGCACAGGAGCGGCCAGACCGTGCCCCCAGCTCCCGCTCCCCCCAGGACCTAGGTGTCCCTGACACCCCCGCAGCCAGGCCAAGAGTTTCCTCCTTATCAAGGGCTTGGGGCTGCGATGTGCCAGTTCTGGAGGGTAACAGCCGGATGGCGTGGGCAGAGGCTGCCACCCCACCCTTGTCCTGGGCCAGGGTCACCCGAGGCTCCACCTGCTCATTTCCTCCCACTCTGCTGTGGGCAGGGAGGCAGGCGGGGCCGCCCACACAGCCAGCCGGGCAGCTCAGGGCCTGGAGGGACATGTGCGTAGATGTCTGCTCTCCGTGCGGGTGGCCTGTGCGTGCATGTTGGTGTCTGTGGAATCCCTGCCTCAGTGCTGAGTCCTGTAACCTGCCTCCCCCCGGGACCTGGCCTCCCTCTGGGCCTCAGTCTTCATGTCTGTGAAGTGGGTGAAGGGGGCATGAGGATGGCTCCAGGGCTGCCCCCACGCTGACGGGCTTTGGGGATGTGCCTCGCTGGGGTCCCAAGTCCTGGCCTGACCCCAGCCCCGCCATCTGACAGCCAAAGGGGAAGGAGAGCTGGTGAAAGGTCAAGTGCAGAGGCTACACGACGTCTGGGGCCACAGAGTCCAAGCTCCACTTCCCCGGAAGGACCTCCTTCCTCCTGAGCCTGGAGTGACTGACATCAGGCTCTGGGAGGAGGGGCTTCCCCCCTGACCCCCAGCCTCGCCTCTCCGGCCTCAGGTGAGGGAGATCCTGGGCCACTGCACCTGCCCGGACCAGTTCCCCATGATCAAGGTCTCCGAGGGCAAGTACCGCGTCGGAGACTCCAGCCTGCTCATCTTCGTGCGGGTGAGAGTGAGGGGCTGCCTGCAGCAGCCGCCCCAGGGCTGGGCGCCGAGGCCCCGGGACAGGCTGTGACCGGCCCTTGGCGGCTCCCACAGGTGCTGAGGAGCCACGTGATGGTGCGCGTGGGTGGCGGCTGGGACACGCTGGAGCACTACCTGGACAAGCACGACCCTTGCCGCTGTTCCTCCACCGGTTGGTGCCCTCGGCCAGGGCAGGCGGGCAGGGGGTCGTCTCTGTGGCTCCACCCCTCACATGCCACCTGTCTGCCCCCTGCAGTGCACCGCCCGCCCCCGCCGAGGACCCAAACATTCTCCCCGCAGAGGGTGTCACCCACTCCCAGCCCCCGAGCAGGCAGCCCAGCCCCAGGGGGTGAGCGGCGAGGCTCCCGGCCAGAGGTGATGCCCATGGGCTTACGAAGCGCCAAGGAGGGGCCCGAGACCCCACTCAGGTGAGAGGCAGGAGGACATGGAGGTGAGAGGTCTAGAAGGTGGGGATGGGGGTGGGAGCGTCAGCCCTGGCCGGGATGATGCAGGAGCCTGTGCTCCCAGTGACTCACACCCTGGGAATAGTTCCCGTGGGTGGGGGCAGGCCTAGCTTCCCGTCTCCATGGCAACCCAACCAAACTAACAACACAGCTGGGGCGGGCCCTGGGGCTGGGTGGCAGCCAGTTCAGCCAACCCTGCTTCCCTCCGGCCTGGCCCAGGAAACAGGAGGGCTGGAGCTTAGGGCCCGGGAGGCCTTGCTTCTTCCGCTGCCTAGGAGTTGGGGGGAGGGGGAGGGGGAGGAGCAGGGGAGCCCTGTCTGCAGGAAGCGGCTACAGAGCCTCACTTCTCCCTGGAAGTCCCCAGGACAGACACAAACCCCCACCAAACCCCACGGCACCACAGGTGTCTTCCCCGCCTCCTACCAACCACAGACGTGCTTCCTCCTCTCCCTACCCTTCCTGCTCGCCAGTCCTCTTTCCATGACACCCCGTCTCTCTTGTTCCCCCGCCCCAGGGCCCGGGATCAGCTGCCCCCCCATCCCCGCTCCCGACGCTACTCTGGGGACAGCGACTCTTCAGCCTCCTCCGCCCAGAGCGGCCCCCTTGGTGCCCGAAGTGATGACTCGGGTGCTGGCCCCCGGAGGGAGCGGCCCAGCCGGCGGCTGACCACGGGTACCCCAGCCGCCCCGAGACGACCCCCCGCCCCTCGCAGCCAGTCCCGAGACCAGCTAGATCGGGGCCGGCTCCAGGAGGCCCCACGAGGCCGGCGGGCCCAGCTGTCCACCCCCAGCCCTGCCCGGCGGGCCCGGAGCCAGAGCCGCGAGGAGCAGGCTGTGCTGCTTGTGCGTCGGGACCGAGACGGGCAGCACTCTTGGGTGCCACGGGGTCGGGCCGGTGGGGGCTCGGGCAGGAGCAGCCCCCACACTCCCCGTGCCCGCAGCCCTGCGGCCCCCCGGCCGCCCCGGGTCTCCAGCCCGAGTCCAGAGCTGGGCGCCACGCCGGCCAGCGTCTTCCGCACCCCGTTGCAGCTTGAACCGCAGCATGAAGAGCAGCTGTTCCGGCGCCTGGAGGAGGAGTTCCTGGCCAACGCCCGAGCCCTTGAGGCTATTGCTGGGGGCACCCCCACTGGACCCGCCCCCGACCCGGCCCGGGCCCCGGACGCTCCCGGCCCTGACTCGGCCTACTGTTCCTCCAGCTCCTCCTCTTCGTCCCTCTGCGTCCTGGGTGGCAAGTGTGGCCAACCAGGGGACTCTGGCCGGGTGGCCAACGGGCTGCCCGGGTGCCGGGGGCCAGCCCTGTCCAGCTCTTCCGATGAAGGCAGCCCCTGCCCTGGTGTGGGGGGGCAGCCAGATGCATCTGCGAGTCACTTGGCTGGCCCTGAGCCCCCGAGGACCTGGGCACGGGGCCGGATGGACACACAGCCAGACGGGAAACCCTCACGAATTCCCACGCCTCGGGGCCCCCGCCGCCCATCCGAACCCACGGTGCCCGGGGCCTGGCGTGCCCTGCGCTCGGTCAGCCCACGGGTGGAGCCGGATTCCTGGATGTGACGGACCAGCCCAGCTGCCTCCAGGCCCCTTCCTCCTCTTCCTCTTCCTTTGTGGCCTTAACCCCTCTGCATCAGGGAGCACCCACCCCCGCAGCCCTCGGGTACCAGACCTCATGGGACCAGACCCCTTACATGGCACAATGGGACCTCTGCTGTACATTCCGATCGGGGGATGAGCATCGCTATTTAATTACTAATGTTATTGAATGCCTTAGAGGAGCCCGAGGACCCTCCTGAGGTCCTGTGGCCCTGCCGAGCCTGACAGTAAAGTTTTGTTCCGGCCACTGGTGTCTGATTCTTGTCTGTTTCATCCTTGGGACCATCACACCCTCATTACATGCAGGGATTCTGGAGTTAACTCCCGGGGCCAAGCCTGGCAACTCCGTTTTCTAGACGTAAAACGACCCTGCCCATCCCAGAAACGCCAGGTGCACTTGCAACGCTTCCCTCTTTATTATCTCCCGGAAGGTGTGGCTTAAGACTCGGCCCAACGAGGCTCCCGGAGCGGCCCGCGAGCTTCCAACCAGATTCACAGTCAAGTTCCTCCGGCTCGTGAACGACTCAATGATACCCAGAAGGTACTGATCTTGTCTGATGAGGCTTGGGGCCTGTCTGGGTCCAATTGAAATTCAAAGAAAGGAAACTGGGTGGGAGCTCTCCTCATCCAATCAGGAGGAGACTGTCCTGTCCAATCCGGAGGAAGCTGGGCCAGCTCCTCCAATCCAGGCCCCTGGTTGGTCCCGTCAAAGGTCCGGCTCCCCCAGCAGCTTCGCGGTCCGCTTTGGTCACATGAGGCTGCAGTGTGCGGGGTGCAGCGCCCCCTGCAGGCGCAGGGCGGGGTGAGCGGGCCGCGCGCGCACCAGGGTGCAGCGGAGCAGCTCGCGGAAGAGGCGCAGCACGTGCCAGTTGTACTTGGCCGAGCACTCGAGGTAGCCGCAGCGCCAGCCCCTGCGCACCAGGGCGGCCAGGGCGCGCCTAGGCCCAAAGCGCAGCCGCTGCCGGTCCCGCTTGTTGCCGACCACGAGGATGGGCGCCTCGGGGGCGCCTGCCGGCCTGGGGGGCCAGAGAGCCATGAGGGCGGCGGTGCCGGGGACCCCACGCCAGAGAATTCCCCCGGGGGGGACGTACACTCAGGAGCACCCTCTCCTGCGGCCAGAAGCCCCCAAGCGAACACCAGACCCGTGTGCGCCAAAGACCTTCCCATGCAAGGGCGCAGGCCCGGCCCAGCAGGCCCGAGACCAGGCCCAGGACAGCGAAAGGGCCGAACCGCTCCCCGGGGGCAAGGCCAGGCCCGACGGGCAAAAGCGCGCCTCCTTCCCCTCCCCACCGGCCGTGCCCTCACCTGGTCTCCGCAATTCGCTGCCGCAGGGCCTTCACGTAGTCGAAGCTGTCGGGGCTGCAGATGTCGTAGACCAGCACGAAGGCGTCCGTGTCCTGCAAGCTCCAGTCCTTCGGGCCCGGCCACTCCTGGGGGCGGGAGGCCGGGGTGGGCCGGGCCGTTTCCCCCTGTCCTGTGCCCTGACCTTCTGCGGGGGGGTCTGGACACTAAACCCACAGGTCACGCTCATCCTCCTCTGTGAGCCCTGGGCCTGACTGTCCCTGTGGCCAAAGCTGCTTGAAGCTGGTCGGCCACCAGCCCTCCCTCACCCCCGGTCTCCTCTCCCCCTGCCCTCTAGTCTCTTCCACGTCCTTCCAGCCTGTAACTCGGTCAGGCGCCTCCCCTCGGCTTGGCCCAATGAGGCTCCGGGGCAGCCGTTTTCCCGCCCCTGAAGCGAACTGCAAAGCCCGTGGCCTGGCGTGGGCAGCTGCAAACGGTTAGGCCTCGAGGACTAACACACGCTCATTTGCACCTGGAATGCTGTTGCCACTTCCCCGTCCGGTGGGTTCAGCCCAGGTGCCGCCCTCCCGCCAGGAAACCCGGCCTGCTCCTGCCCCTTCTCCTCTCCGAGGACTCAGAGTCTGTTCTGGACTTTCCACAAATGACTACACGAGTCTTTGCTCAGGTCACAGACAGGAGGGAGCAGAGAATGGCACCCCCTCCCCGAAAGGGCACCCCTGCGTCTGGCCCCAACTGTCCCTCTGCGGCTCCGTTCAGGGCCCTGAACACAGGATGCTCCACCCGCACTGAGCCAGACCCCCTGGTGGCGGCGGCACAGACGGAGGCACTTTGCACGTCGCCCGGTCTCGGCCCTGGGTCCGGGCTTGTGCGCCTCAGGCCAGCGAGAAGGTGGGACACACAACACGGGGCACACGTTCATCCTTCAACCCACGGGCACCGTGTGCACCCTCGTGTGCACCGACCCCTCCCCCCCCCCCACACACACACACTGTCACGCCCTCGGCCGCTACCTCGAGGCCTCCGGGTCTCTGACCGGGTCCAGCGCCGTCCCCGTCGCGGATGCTCAGGTCGTAGACGGCGCCGTCGAGCAGCACCGCCGGCCGGTAGAGGCAGGGCCCGTCCGTGGGCTGGTGGCGCTCGGGGTAGTCCCCGAACAGGAACTGGCGGATGATGGCCGTCTTGCCCACGCCCGGGGCGCCCAGCACGGCCACCCGCAGGCTGCCCCCCATGGCCGGCGCGCGCTGCCGCGCCCCGCGCGGGGAGCCTCATGGGCCGGCGCCGCTGTGTGCGCCCCGCGCGCCCTGCCCGGTGCGCCCGGGCCCCTCCGCGCTCCTCGTCGCCCCCGGAGCACCGGGGCCGGGGCGGCCGGGCGGGAGGACGCAGCGGGCGGCGGGAGGCGGACCGACAGCCCAGCCGGCGGACGGGCGCCGAAGCTCGGGGAGCCCGGACCCACGCGCCGCGCGCAGACCCCGCCTCCGCCCGCAGCGCGACGGGAGCGCCGCCGGGGCGCGGGGCGCGGGGCGCGGGGCCGGCTTCCTCGCCGCGAGGGTCCCGCCGCGGAGCGGGGCGCGGGCCGTGCTGCCTCCGGGCGCCTCGCTCCCTGCGTCCTGCTCCCGCTCCGGCACCGGAGTCGCCGCCTCGCCGATGAGGTAACCGCCTGCCCCTCCCGCCGCCCCCGGACGCCTCTCCCGGGAAGGGTCGCGGGAAGGTGACGGGCGCAGGAAGCCCGAGGAGGGACCAGCCCCCGCGCCGCTCTCGCCGGCCCCACAACAGGAGCCCTTCCCGCCGCGCCCGCCGCTCCGTCCCCGCTCCGCACCCGGAGCCGCTCAGACCGCCGGCCGCGGGGCTCACGCCGCCGGGGTCGGTCCGGCCCCGCCGTGTGACCTTGGGCGAGTCGCGCACCGCGCGGTCTGCCGGCTCCGCATCCATCACCGGAGACCTGCAGGGCCGGCCCTTCACCCAGCGATTACGTCAGCGGCCCCTGCGCCCGCAGCCGCAGCCCGGACTCTGAAGTTGGGGGGCAGTGGTCTGAGGGGCCTCCCACCCTCTGGCCACGGGAGGAGCTGGTCAGCACCACCCAGTGTCAAATGGCCGTCGTGCCGGGAGGGGCGGACGGAGGGTGCTGAGCCCAGGACACGCCAGGTGCCAGCAGCGGAGCCCCGATCCCGGCCCAAACCCGGTGGAAAGAATCAGAAACCGGTTGACACCGCCTCCGCCCCTGCCAAGGCCGTGTTCTGCCTGCGTCTCCACCTGTGGTCCTGCCTCCCTCCTCCCTGGAGCCGGTGAGAAGCTCCTTCCCCGCAGGCTGGGGGAGTCTGGGGGTGCCAGCTGCCCTCTCCTCTCCTGCCTCCTTCCTGCAGAGGGGGCTCCCCATCCCTGCCAGATGCCCAGGCACCGGGGAAACGCAGACTTTCCTGTCCCTGCACTGACCGGGGTTTCACTCACTGCTTGCGCCCAATGGCCAAAGCTGGAACAATTCAAGCAACAAAATAATGTGGTTTTGGATTGAACAGGAATTACAAAATAAATATTTATGCCTCCAAACAGATATCGATTGAATAAAGAAGGATGGGTGCAGAAACACATCTCCTTACGAAAGAATTCCAAGTGGTTCTGCAGCACTCCCTGCCCCCGCTGCTTCCCGAGTGTAGGCTGCACTTGGGGACTTGCTCCCAGAGAGCAGGGCACAGACGGGGAGAAAGTCACTTCACAGCACAGAAAGCCGCACCCACCGCCTCAGCCGAGTGACCCGGGCTAAGGGGACAGTGAGGAACCCTGCCGATGGCTGGACCTGTGAGGTGCTAGGAGGCGAAGGCCACCGCTGTGACCTTAAAAACTCCTAATACCAGTCTCCCCCTGAGAAAAACATCAGACAAACCCAATGGAAGGACAGAGTCTACAAAATACCTGACCAGTACTCCTTGAAGTTACTAAGGGCAAAGGGTCCCAGGTTCGATTCCCGGTCAAAGGCACGTGCCTGGGGTAGGAGGTTCAATCCTGGCCCCGGTCGAGGCGTGTGTGGGAGATACCAATTGATGTGTGTCACTCTCATATCAATGTTTTTCTTTCCCTCCCTCCCTCCATCTCTTTCACTCTCTCTAAAAATCAATGGGAAAAATATCCTTGGGTGAGGATTAACCAAAAATAAAATATAAAAATGCAGTGGCCCATGAATAGACAGATTTGCTGGTACAGAGCAGAAGCCACAAAAGCGTATATATATACTGAAGTGTAGTATATGAGAAAATGGCATTTCAGATCTGTGGGATAAGATGAATTATTCAGTAAATGGTGTGAAGACAACTGGGTAACCATCTGGGAAAAGAGGAAGTTGGATCCCTAACATAAAGCCCAGATGGAATCGGATCAAAATGCAAAAACTAAGATCAGGTAAGCATAGAAAGAAGAAATTAAAAGATTACATAAGAAATACTTTCAGCAAGGAAAAGGAAAAAGCAGTAACAAAATGGGGAGAAATAATGACAAAGCAGGAAGAAAAGGACCAGTAACCACATAGAAAAACGGGCACACCCTGGCAGGTGTGGCTCAGTTGGTTGTCATCCCATGCACCAAGAGGTCGCTGGTTCGATTCCCACTCGGCACATGCAGGGGTTGCAGGCTTGATCCCACACAGGGGGTGTGCAGGAGGCAGCCAATCGAAGTTTTTCTCTCATCGATGTTTTCCTCTCTCCCTCTCCCTTGTTTCTTAAAAAAAAAATCAGCCAAAACTGGTTTGGCTCAGTGGATGGAGCATCGGCCTGCGGACTGAAAGGTCCCAGGTTCGATTCCGGTCAAGGGCATGTACCTGGGTTGCGGGCACGTCCCCGGTGGGGGATGTGCAGGAGGCAGCTGATCAATGTTTCTCTCTCATTGATGTTTCTAACTCTCTGTCTCTCTCCCTTCCTCTCTGTAAAAAATCAATAAAACATATTTTTTAAAAAATCAGTAAAAACATATCTTTTTTTAAAAATATATATTTTATTGATTTTTTTACAGAGAGGAAGGGAGAGGATAGAGAGTTAGAAACATCCATCAGCTGCCTCTTGCACACTCCCCATTGGGGATGTGCCCACAACCAAGGTACATGCCCTTGACTGGAATCGAACCTGGGATCCTTGAGTCTGCAGGCTGACGCTCTATCCACTGAGCCAAACCAGTTAGGGCAGTAAAAACATTTCTTAAAAAAATATGGTCACAGGTTTGATTCCGGTCAAGGACACATACCTAAGTTGTAGGCTCGATCTGCAGCCCGGGTCAGGGTGATGCGGGAGGCAACCCATCAATGTGATTCTCTCACATAGATGTTTCTCTCTGTGTGTGTCTCTCCCTCACCCTTCCACTCTCTAAAAATCAATAGAGAAAAAAATCCTCGGGTGAAGATTAACAAAAGAGAAATGGGCAAGAAATATAAAGATAGCTCATAGGAAAGGATATACAAATGGCTCAAAAACATACAAATGAGCCCTGGCCACGCAGCTCAGTTGGTTAGAGTGTGTTCCCAGTACCTCACGGTTGTGGGTTTGATTCCCACTCAGGGCACATACAAGAATCAACTGATGGATACATCAATAAGTAGAACAACAGATCCATGTGTTTCTCTCCTTCTCCCCCTTCTTTCTCTAAAATCAGTAACAATGATAAGAAAATAAAAGACGAACAGAGGCATGCTTAAAACACAGATACACGTTTTCACCACCAGTTTGGCACATATCAATACGCTGAGTGTGTGAGAACACGGGCAGGCATCCGCTGCTGGCTGGGAGAACGTAAGCTGGAGAGTGTTTAGCAACTGCCATTAAAATTACAAACCTTTGACCCAGCGATTTCCATTGCAGGAACTGACTGCATATGAAAGTGAACATTCTTTGCAGTATCGCTTGTACTAGCAACACTACAGACACAACTCAACAGACATCTAGGGGCCCTGGTTCCTGGTGGTACCTCCACTCACTGGAAAGCCATCCACTGTTATAAAAAGGCATTAGGACTCTCTGTGATGGACTGATAATGGAAGTCTCCAAAATATAAGGTGCAGAACGGGTGTATTCCATGCTAGCACTTGTGTACAAAAAAGGGGGGGAAACCATGTTAGACACCATTGGATCTCCTTGGAAGGTAACATTGATTTCTTTGGGGAAGAAAAGAGAAAATTTTTTTTCACTTCTATCCTTTAAGCCATGTGAGTGAATTACCTCTGCAAAACAAGAACTAAAATAGAGAATGTAAAATGCTTACACGCTCTGGCCCAGTCACTCTGGGGCTAGATTCTGCAGCTCCAACAAGGATGTCTGTGGCTGTTCAATGCACCGTTGCTGGGACGGGCAGCAGATGGAAACAGCCTGAGTGCCTGCCAGCTGGCACTGGCTAACGGCAGCCGTCCACACAGGGAGTACTGAAGTGGGTCCATTTGGACAATTAGGTAAGAAAAGCAGTGCAGGTAGTGTCTGGAGTGTGCTCCCACTTGTTTATAAATAACCCGTGGATCTGCTTTCATACGTGCACAGAATATTCCTGGAAGAAACCCAAAATCTAGCAATGAAGGCTGCCTCTAGGGAAGGAAACTAAGAACGAGGGAAGGGTGGGAGGGAGACCTCAATCCTTTGCGTGGCTGATCTTACCATGGTCCAGAATCACTCCGTCAATAACAAAAACATTTCAATAATAAATAATTATTTAAAAACAACAAAAACAGAAAACCACTAGTTGAAGATTAAAAAATGTAAAATGAGCCCGGCTGGCATGGCTCAGTGACTGAGCATCAACCTATGAACCAGGAGGTCGCAGTTCAATTCCAGGTTGCAGGCTGTTCCCAGTTGCGGGGAGGGGGGGCGTGCAGGAGGCAGCTGATCAATGATTCTCTCTCATCATTAATGTTTCTCTCTCTCTCTCCCTTCCTCTCTGAAATCAATAAAATATATATAAAGTAAAATGAGGTCATGCCACAGGCCTTAGTAAGTGGCTGGCAGACGGGCTGTTGAATTCCTCAACTGGCTGGGAAGGCCCAGGATGCCAAGGCCCCTGAGAGGCGTCAGGCTGAGAGTGGGGAGTGCCAGGGGTGGGGGAGGAGACACGTGATGGGTCCTCACCAAGGGGAGGGAGGGACCGGAAGCTGAAGGCACCTGCTGGATATTCCTAAGGCACTTTTCCTAGAGCCTGGGCCTCCTGCTGTTTTCCTGATGCAGTGATGTGGGGAACTCTGTTTCTCTCTGAGTATATTCAGATAGCTGGGTCCCATCCTGCCAGGCACCATGTGCGTGGGAGAGGGCAAAATCACGGCAAGGTCCTGCCCACAATTGCCCGAGACCCGGCCACAGCTTGAGTTAGGAAGGCAAATTCAAGATGTCTGGTGACAGTGCAAGGCCCTCTGTCCAACCAGGCCAGCCTCTCTTCACCCCAGGTGCTCAGTCCTGGGCCTCCTTCCCATCGTCCCCCACTGAGGACAGCTACCCTACATTCAACTCTTTGGCGTCGGAGCGGTGCGAACAGAAAGCTCTGAGGTCCCTGATGGCTGAGCCAGCCGTGCACTCACAGGGTGTTGGGGTGGACGTCGGGCCCCCAGTGCGGCAGGAGCAGCAGGCCACCAGCAGGCCGGGTAACAGCCTCTCTCCCCTCCAGGGCTCAAAACCCTGCCCTTGCCCACAGCCCAAGGGGACTCCAGCCCTTGTATCCAGGGCCTTCTGAGCCTGGGGACTTTCCGGTGAGGTGGAGCTAGGGTTGTGCAATCAGGGCCTACGCTCTGGGTCCCTAGGACAGCATGACAATACCCAGGGGTCGGAGGTGGGGCAGTGGAGGCCAGGTGTCCCTGCCAATGCCTGGTCCCTAGGCAGCTGGGAAGGCAGCCATGTGTCAGAGGTGGGCAGGGTGCAGGAAGTGGCTGGGGCTGGAAAGGCAAGGGTCCAGCTGCTTCTCCCTCAGAAGCAGGCTGACTGCCTACCAGCCACGAGGCCCTGAGAACCCGGAGCAGCTCTGCCGTCGAAGCCCTGCCCAG